GTGAAATGCCGTTCAAGGGCGCCGCGGCGAGCGGGAGGCGCTCGCGCCCCGCGAGAGGTGCAAGCGCAGCGCGCGGCCAGGCGCGCGCGCGCAGAGCCGCCGGTCGCGCCCGCGGAGACCAAGGCACCACCCCAAGCGGCCGCGCAACTTTCCAATAACAGGAGGCCCCAGGGCACGGCCCCGCTCCGCTCCCTCCAACGCAGCGCGAGCCAGATCCATCCCGCGAGCGCCCTGAGGCTCGAAGCCAAAGCGAAATCGCCGGCTGTTTTCCCCATCTCTTCGCGACGCCGCAGCCTGATCGCTCCCGGACACCTGCTTCCGCAACGCGTTTGGACTCTGGGCCCTCGGCGATTGCGCGCCCTGCCCCGCCCCGGGGAAAAGGCCCCAAGAAATGCGAGATTGCCCAGAATTGGCCGTTCCGTTTCTCGAGACAACAAGAGATCGAGGGTCTTCTGGCGGAGTTGACCCGCAGACCTGGCGGCCGCCCTTCTTCGCAAATCCACGAAATCATTCCTTCCATGAAAACGTGCCTCCTAGTTCCATGACTCAGATCTGCGCCAGCGACTTCCCATATCACGACCAGACCCATGATTGTTCACGCTTCCGACATATTCCCACATTGCATCGTGCTTCTTCTTTGCTGGCAGCTTGCGCCCGTACCCCTGTTCTCATTGAAGCCCCCCGCCCCGCGCGCGGTTGGCCAGCTTGGGGGGCCGCGGCGCGGGCCACCTCAGCATCTATGGTCTCTGCACAGTGGATGCTGCGAGGATCGGCAACGCCCGCGCTCGGGGCCGACGCCGCTGGCCACCGGACTGTTGCGCCACGCGAGAACCTGAGCGCGGGCCGCCGCGCTCGCGGGCCCGCGGCGCACGACGGCGGAAGCGCGGCGGGCGCCACCGCGGGCGCGCGCTGGTCGGCGAAAGCCCTTCTGACCAAATGTTGCGGAGGCCCCCTCTCGCGTTTGCGAAATTAATGCAAGCCCGAACACCCCTGGCCGGCTCGTCGCCCCCAGACGCACTGGACCAAGAAAAAACAAGAAACGCGCAGCAAAAAAAAAAAAAACACCATGGTAAACTCACGTTTCTGCCCCTGCTGGAGCGCGCACGCGCGGGCAAACATCCCTCGGGCGACGTCGCCTCGGCGGGATGAGGGGGGCCCACCGAAAACCATTTTTCAATCGCGGGCCGGGCGACCGCGCGCGGCGCCCGCGCGGCGCTGCTCGGACTGCGCCGGCGCAGCGAACGGCGTCGTCTAGACAATGGAGGTTTAAAAAAACGGCGCAGAGGCTAGCTAGCTCGCCGTGGACAGTCGCGATCTCTTGCTCGAGCTGCTGGCAGCTTTTGGCATTGCGGCCTGCTCGTTGCCGCGCTGGCGCTGCGCTGTCGGCCAGTCTCTGCTAGTCTGTTCCCAGACTGCGGGGGCGGGCGTCGGCCTGGTCGGAGACGCCCTGGCTGCTTGGCTTTGACAGCCACTCCTCGTCTGACTCTTCATCGCGGCCGGGTGATTCGCGGCACCCCCCGGGGGGGGGGCCAAGAGGGGCGTCGGCGCCCTCGAGTTTGGTGACACCATCGAACATGGCGATTCCATCCCCTCCTCGTTGACCTGGCAGGGCCGCGTATGACGCGCGCCCACCCTCCTTCGCGCGATGGTCGGAGGCGGACATAGCGACGCTGGCAGAGCACTGGCGCGCTCCATTCTAGCTGCGACCCCGTTGTTTCTTCTCTGGTGGCGGCGTCGCTGCGGTTGGCGCCCCTCGCGGCTGCTCGGACGGGGTCGTCAGCAATGCATTCAGGTGCGGCCGGATGACCGCCGTCTTGGAGGGTCGGCGCAACGGCAACGTCTGGGCCGCCCGGTTGGAACCCTGCGCGGAGGCATCCGCTGTGACGGCTTCAGGTGAGACAACGTCTGCCGTCGGCTTGACTCTGTCATGGCAGAGGCCCCCACCTGTGCTGCGGTCCATGGATTGGTTGGGCCCCGCGCGTGCACGATGGCATTGGGCGGAGCCGTCGCCGCTTTGCCGATGTTGGACGCCTACCCCCGGGCGTTGGACGTCTACCCCCGCGCGTTGGACGTCCAACCCAAACTCACCAGCTCACCCCCTGAAGCTCCCCCCCAACAGCGGGGTCTCAGACTGACCGCCAGACGGTCTTACGCTGTCACAAAAGAAACAAACGCCCCTCACCCTTATCCACCAGATGATCGATTTTCCTTCCACTCTGCGAGCGCTTCGTTGGGTGACTTCGCAGCAACGCTTGGCGGGGTCGATTTCCCCCTGCGAGCGACTAAATCAAAGGAAGGCGTACAGCCCTGATAAAAGAAGGGCAGCGCAAGTGCATTCATTCGCTGCCAGTCTACTGCACTCTCGAAAGGAACCTGTTGCTCTACAGAATCGAGGTCAACGCACTCCACTCGCCAGCGGCTGGAATCGCACCCAGGGGTTTTCCCTGAACAGGCATCTCTGTCGCCCTCCCTGCCCTGAAAGATTTTAGGGTGTAGGACGGAGCATCCGGCACTAGAGCAAACGTCAGGAATCTCCTCAGGGTGCTCGCGAATGCGCTACTGTTAAAAACAAAGAGACGCTGGCCGATGCCCCTTCCTTGCAGGTATGCTCTCAACCTGTGCACTGGGCGCGCCCCCGAAACGGGGCAATAACACTTCCTCGCTAGGCGGGAACCGGCGGGCCTGTGCCTGCGACGGCGCAGAATCAGGTGCAACGCGCCGCCTGCTAGCCAGACTGCGGAATGCCTCCCCACGGGAAGGTTGTCCACTTCTTGCGGCCCGCCTGCTTCAAGGGGTACCCTCTCTGAGCGCACCCGCAAGAGGAAAGCCCACCTGATGGCGGCCAACTCCTGGAAGCCATTGCACACCCGGGCCGCGTCTGCTAACTGGACCAACAAAGGATGTAAGCAAGTGCGCGACTCTGGCTGGCCCTCCTGTGTGCCTCAGCGAGCGCTTGGTCACTATAGCTAAGGTCTGGCGCACTGCGGTCCCGTACCACGACACGTCCAAATTCAGATGGACGCAAGTCCATTTCACGTAACCAATGTAGTTGCTTGCTGTTTTCCCCGATCTGGAAATGGCAAGGAATTCGCACGCTTGGGTCGCTGAGCGCGGCGGCAGCGTTGCCTCCGCAGGCATGCTAGGTTAGGTTAGGTTTCCGACGAGCGAAAACCTCGGCAATATGGTTTTGGTGGCGTCCTAGGGCTCGATGCCTGTGACCCGGAACTTGGCGCGAGCAAGTACCGCGTCGGTTCCTCGGAGCACTTTGAAAAGGAACCATCCGCCACCCCTGGAGCCGCTGAAAACTTGTAAGACAACTGTTCGCGGCGGTAAGGCAAATGCCGCATTTTGGAAAAGGAGACCCCCTCCATCATCTGCAAACGTTTAAAACGAACGTGCGCGGCGCTAAGGCGAGGACCTCCATTTGAAAAACGGCCCCACCTGCACACTTCAAGATCTTGCAAGCTTTACAACGAATGTGCGCGTCGCTAGGGCGAGAGCCCCATTTTTCGAACGGCCCGCCATCCGTCCTGGAAGCTCTGCTGACAAGTCCTCGAGCCCCATTATCATGAATGGTGAGGAAGTCTCAAGCGAACCGCCTGACCTGCCCGGCCGACACGTCTGGGGGTGCGACAGGGAGGAGGTGCTTATGAGGAAAAGAAAGGTAGGAACCCAGACATCTGGCTGCCCGAATTTTTGTCGATGCGTGGGCCCCGGAGATCTGGACCACTTCCCCGGGGCCGGTTTTTCGTCCCGAGTCGTTCTTTGACGCCCCCGAGGCCCCGCGAGGGCCCCCGGAGGCCGAAAACTGGCAAACTCCCGCCGCTCCAACTTGTTCGGAGCGTCGGATCTTTGGGAAGGGAGGGAGGGGAACGGTCGACCAAGGCCGCGGGAGCCAGGAGGCCCCGGGACGATCCCAGAGGCCTCGGGAGGGCCCGCGAGGGCCCAGGAGGCTCCAGGCTGTCACGAGATGGTACTCCCTCCTGTTTAGACGCCCGAAATGGCCCACGCACAGGCGAGAACAACGCGCTCAATAAGGATGTCGCTGGCGCCAAGGCGGCAACAATAATTTCAATCAAAGATGTGGCCCACGCGCAGGCAGGAGCATCATCCCGAGACAATCGCGTCGCCAAGAATGCAAGTGTCACGCCCATCCCGCGGGGGCTGGGCTCGGTGTCACCGAGGTGCGGGCTATGTTGGGCAGGAGAGCCCAGAATCGAATCGATGAGTCGGATCGGCGCTCGAAATGAGTCGGATCGGCAGAAATGGGCAGCCACATCGGGAGAAGTCGAATCGGCAGAAATCGGGAGTCTAGTAGGCCTTCATTGAGGAATCGGTACAAATCGAATCCTGTAGAGGGACACGCCCGACTTATACCTACAGCCGGCCCGTCTCATCAGCATGCACGAGATAAGGATGCGAGGGCCGTGGACGCCCGCCCACTGTGAGGCTCTCTTCGAGGGGAGCGCGGCGCCAGCGAGAGCGGCCCAGGATGGACCGAGGAGGCAAGGGATGCAAGGGTACCCTTGGGAAAGATGCCCATCTTTATTGTAGGGGGCAACTACTGGGAGGTCTTCGTCGGAAGGACTAGGGAGGATAAAACCCCAGTGGGGGGCTGTTACGCCGGAGTGGGCCTCGAAGCGGGATTAAACTGGATTAAGCGGGATTAAACGGGGCTAAACCGGATTCAGCGGGACTAAGCCGGCTTAAGCCGGATTTCGGACCAGGGCAAAATCAGAATTTGACCTCCCCCGGCAGTTGCATCCGAACTTCTTATGCGGGCTGACTCTGCTCCGACCCCATGTGGGAGGCCTAGCATCATGTCGGGCGTGTCCTCCGACAGGCGGATTTTTGCACGAGAGATGAAACATACCCCAAACATGGCCCCCAAACAAATGCAAAATAGAAGGACCATCGTCCCCAGACTATGATTTAGCTGTCTTCGAACCTTCCTCGCGTAGAGGGACACGCCCGACGTCATGCGGCCCAGGGCGGCGGGCCTCCTCGGCGTCGGGCTCGCCCTCGAGGGGCTCCCCGCCGCGGTCGCGCAGCCACGCGCGCCCTAGCGGCGGCGGGGCCCGCGGCCGGCCGCGCGCACCCGCGCCGGGCTCGGTTGTCGGGCAGGGGGCGCGCGCCACGGGAGGCCGGGGCAGGGCCTCCTCCCTCCAGCCCCCCCTCCCCAGCCTCCATCTCGACCCTCCTCCTCCCTCTCTCTCTTCTCCCAGGCTCCCTCCTCCCTTCCACCCTCTCAGCCCTCCTCCTCCCATCTCCACCCTCCTCCTCCCTCCCTCCATCTCAGCCCTCCCATCTCAGCCCTCCTCCTGCCTCCCTCGCATCGCAACCCTCCTCCTCCCCTCCCTCTCTTTCCTCCCCAGACCCCCTCGCGCTGTGAAAAAAAACACGACAGGAGGTGTTTCCCCATGGTCGGCCTCTCGGGGTCCTTACCGGGCCTCAGGACCGTCAAAAAACGACGCAGGACGAGAAAGCGGTCCCGGGGAAGGCCTCAAGACCTCTGAAGGTCGTCGTCCTGAAGAAATAACGATGTCGGGAGTCTGGGTCCCCATCTCAACCCTCCTATCCTGCCCCGTTCTTCTAGGTCACATGTCGGACGGCCAGCTGCCTGTTTCAAGCGCGGGCTTCCTCACAATCCCAGCCACTTCGTCTGGAGCAATCGATTCAGCCGTGAAGCCATCGATTCGGCCACCTTTCTCTCCCACGGTCTCTCCGTCCCTCCGTCCACCCTCCCGTCCCCTCACAACGAGATTCCTGAACCGTCGACTGGTGTTTCGTGCGTGAGGGTTGCACCCGAGGGACCAGGAATCGCCCCTGATGATGGTTCCTGGAGAAGTACGCCTCTGCCACACGATGCGTGCACCCCGGGATCTGCCACTGGGAGCACCTCACAGCCTGGCACTCCGGGCGAGTCCAGGCAGCCACACGGCAGCCGCACGCAACCTATCCTCCCTCCTCCTCCTCTTCCTCCTCCTCTTCCTCCTCCTCCTCCTCCTCCTCCTCCTCCTCCTTCCCACCGCGGCCACTGGACACATGAGCGACGATCAAAGACGGGTCTTACGCGAGACGCACAGCGACCTTACACCGCGGCTTACGCGGGCCGCCAGCGCGGCACGCTCACGCGAGAGCTTGCGCGAGCAGCCTACGCGCCAATGTCGGCGGAGACGGCCCCGTACCCATGTAGGCCCAGGAGAACCCAGAATCGAATCAATAAGCCGGATCGGCGATCGAAATAGCTCGGCTCGGCGGAAATCGGCAGCCGAGTCGGGAATTCATCGAATCGGCGGAAATCGGCAGGCTACCTCAATGAGAAATCGGAGCCCAAATCGGAATTCGAAATCGAACCGAATCGGAATCGGAAGCCATCGAAATCGAATCGAATCGAACCGGAGGAATCGAAACGAGCCCTGCCGGCAATGGTTACCCATGTAAAAAGTCTGCTCGGTCTGTCGTCCTCTCCCGCCGCCGAGCCAACGAGCACTGTGCACCTACACCGCCCCTGGCTGGGACTGTCCTGGGCGCAGGATCGGCGCATGCGCTCTCGGGAGCTCGGCCATAAATGCGTGGGCGTCGCTCGGGAGAAGCGGGCAGAAACACCAAGTAGGAAGGCGTTTGCAGCAGATTGGCTTACGGACCCCCCCAAGAATAAAAGAAAAAAGGAAAGAAACAATCTCATTTACGCAGATGAACACTTGTACGAACGCTGGATACAAAAGAGCACGAGGGTGCGCCGCTGGATGTCCCCAAGGGGGGGGGGGATTGGGACCCCCCCCCTTCCCCGACCCGTCGTCGGGGAACCCCTTCCCCCTCTCCCCCCTTCCCCGATCCGTCGTCGGGGACCCCCCCCTCCCCCCTTTTCCCCGATCCGTCGTCGGGGACCCCCCCCCCTTTCAAAAGGGGGGGGGTCCGACCCCCCCCCCCTTCCCCCCTTTGGCCGCACCCCCCCCCTCCCCTCCTTTCGCCACGCCGCCCCCTGACTCCGGAACCCGACCCCCACCACCCCTACCCCTAGTCCTCACCCTAACCCAAACCCCTAACCCTAACCCCAACCACTAACCCCAACCCCCAAAAAAACTCACTCCTCATTACTCACTACCCACTACTGACTTACTCGCTATTCGCTACTCACTTCTCACTACCCCTAATCACTACTCACGACTCACTACTCACTATCCACTCCTCACTACCCACCACTCACTACTCGCTACTCACTACTCACTATTCACAAGTCCCTCCTCCCTACTCCCTACTCACTACTCACTCCTCACGACCCACTACTCAATACTCACTACTCTCTAAGCACTACTCACTACTCCCTACTCACTAATCACTGCTCATTACCCACCACCCACTAATCCACTACTCAGTACTCACTACTCATTGCCCACAAATCACGACTCACTACCCACTACTCGCTACTCCTTACTCCCTACTCTCTAGACAATACTGACTACACAGTCATCAGTACTCACTACTCGCTACTCTCATACTTTCTACTCAATACTCACTGCTCACTCCCCGCTACTCACTACTCACTACTCCCTACTCACTAGTCACTACATAGTCTCTAGTCACTGGTCACAGGTCACTAGTCACTATTCACTACCCATTACTCACTATTCACTAATCGCCACTCACTACCCACTATTCGCTACCCACTTCTTGCTACTCACTGCTCACTGCTCCCTACTCCCTACTCCCTACACCCTACTGACTACTCGCTACTCCCTAGTCGATACTCACCACTACCCACTACTCCCTACTGGCGACTCTGTACTCACTACTCACTACTCACTACGCCCTACTCGCTCCCCACTACTCACTATTCGCTACTCCCTGCTCCCTACTCACTACACACTACCCACTGCCACTACCCACTACTCGATATTCATCACTACTCACTACTCACTACTCACTACGCACTACGTAGTACTCAATTCTCACTACTCACTACTCACTACTCACTACTCGCTACTCTCTGCTCACTACTCACTACTCGCTACGCACTACTCACTACGCACTACGCACTGTCACTACTCACTAAACACTACCCGCCACCCACTACTCACTACCCACTACTCACTACCCACTACTCATTACTCCATACTCCCTACTCAGTATTCACTACTCACTTATCAGTACGCACTAATCACTCTGCACGACTCACTACTCCCCACTCCCTACTCCCTACACCCTACTCGCCACTCACTACCCACTACTCACTACCCAATACTCACTACTCACTACGCACTAACTCACTACTCACTATTCACCACTCCCTACTCCCAACTCCGTACTCCCTACGCCCTTTCTCTGGCGCAGAAAGGAGAAGCGAAAGAGGCTCCCCCTCCCCGGCTCCCTTTCCGGCGCAAAGGGGGGGAGGGGGGGGAGGGGGTCCGACCCCTCCCCCCCCTTTCAGCGCCAAAGGGGGGGGGGGTCGGACCCCCCCCCGCCCTTAAAGGGGGAAGGGGGGGGAGGGAGTTCCGGACCCCCCACCCCCCCTTGAAGGGGGGAGGGGGGGAGGGGTTCTGGACCCCCCCCCCTTTAGTGTATTCAGGGGGATCCACTGGCGCACTTTCAAAGAGCACATCGCCAGATACGAACGATCTGCGCTGCCCTCATCTCCGCCGTGCCTCCCAGGAGCCTACAAAAGTGGCGGCAGTTGCGCAGTTCGCAGTCACCAAGGGAGCAGCGAGGTCTCGTCCAGAGCCCAGGATGGCGGCAACAGTTGCGCAGTTCGCATCCTACCAAGGAGCAGCGAGGTCTCGTCTGGGTGCGCGTGGCCCCCGGCTCCGCCTTGCCTCCCAGGAGCCCACGACGATATTGGCGACAGTTGCGCAGCTCGCAGCCACCCAGGGAGCTGCGAGGTCTGGTCTGGATCCTGGCACCTCCCTACTCCGCCTTGCCTCCCAGGAGCCCACGGAAAAGGCGACAGTAGCGCAGTTGACAACCACCCAGGGAGAGGCGAGGTCTCGGCTGGGTGCGCGTACTGCCCGACTCCGCCTTGCCTCCCAGGAGCCCACGGTAGTGGCGACAGTTGCGGAGTTCGCAGCCACCCAGGGAGCTGCAAGGTCTCGGCTGGGTGCGCGTACTCTCCTACTCCGCCGTGCGTTTCAGGAGCCCACGACAGTGGCGACAATTACGCAGTTCACAGCCTACCAAGGAGCAGCGAGGTCTCCTCTGGGTGCGCGTAATCCTCTACTCCGCTGTGCCCCCCAGGAGCCCACGAAGGCGACGACAGTTGCGCAGTTCGCAGCCACCCAGGGAGCAGCGCAGAAGGATCGGGGAGACGTAAGACGCGGGTACGGGGGACTCGGGCTGGCCTGACGGGGCCATCATGAAATTGACGAGACCCAATCTGAAATTTGACGCGAGCTCCCGCCGCTGCAAACATCCCACGAAAACTGGACCGTCAAAATCCAGGACGCGCTCGTTCAAAAATATAGGTACATCCGAGTTCGGGCTTACTCGAGTCTCAAGTTTCCCCGAAATGAGCAAGGGAGGAGGGAGGAGGGAGGAGGAAGAGGAGGTGGGTACAACAGTGCTCTATTCGGAACGAGAGCACAGCACAGGAGGGTTGGGGACTACTGGTCGGCGAGCGACTGACGCACTGGTCGGCGAGCGACTGACACGCGCCGGGGCGGCCTGCTGCCCCGGGGGGGAAGTGCATGGACAGGGACGGGAGCAGCGGGGGAGGGGGGAGGAGACGGGGGGAAGAGGAGGGCGGAGGAGTAGGGGAGGAGGAGGAGGAGGTGGGAGAAGGAGGAGGAGGAGGAGGAGAAGAAGGATGAGGAAGAGGAGGAGGAGCAGGAGGAGGAGGAGAGGAGGAGGAAAGAGAGGAGGCCGGCCCCTCGTGCCCGTGGACAGCAGGCAGCAGCCACGCTCGGCTGACCACCCTGGCCCCAGGACCGGCCCGGCCAGTATCGGCGCGGCACGACGGGCTGCCGTCGCGACGACGTCGGCGCTGGTCTTGATGGGCCTCTTTTCCACCACCACCAACATAAGTTGGAGGGGGGAAGGAGGAGGAGGAGGAGGAGGAGGAGAAGGAGGAGGAGGAGGTGGACGAAGAGGAGGAGGTGGAGGAGGAGGACCCCCTCTCCCTCCAACTTACGGGGGTGGTGGTGGTGGAAAACAAGCCCATCAGGTCTCTTTTACACAGCGGAGATCGCTCAACCCTGCATGATCGCGGCATTCCGATGGCGCTGTGGTCATTCGATTGCTTCCCGGCCACCCGCGGCGCTGGCCCTTGAACGCCCGCGCCGATATCGCCGCCATGTCGACGCGCAGCGAACGTGCCGTAGGCACTACATGCGTCCCAGACATCCGACGCAAGGCTCTCCTCACAACCTGGCTCCCTGGAGGTCAGGACCTCTTCCCAAGGACTGGCTTCTCGTCCTGAGTCCGTCTTCGGGAATCTACTGACCCGTGACCATCCAAACCCGGGCCAGTCAGGCATTGCAGGATCGTGCCGGATCCTGCGCCCAATACTTGGTCAGTGCGTCCCTGGCCCTGCAGGATCCTGCAAGATCCGGCGCTCTGACGGACCCCCGTTTGCATTGACCCCCGTCTCTTGAGCCCCGACTTCTTCGAGGGCCCTGGGGCCAAGTAAGGGCCCCCAGAGCCCGGAGACTGCAAAAAACCTTCCGCCGTGACTCGTGCCAACGCTCAAGCTTCCACGGCTGGACGCAGGTCTGGAAGACCCTCGTTCTGGCGTCACTCGTGCCAACGCTCAAGCTTCCAAGCGCCACTCCTGCCAACGCTCAGCTTCCACGGCTGAGCGCCTTGACTCGGGGACGCGCAAACATGGATTAGCGATCCATGGATTTGGCGCGTGGTCGCCAAATTCATGAATCGGTGGAGGTGTCCTCTCCAAAATGCAGCCGGTGCCGCCTCGTTCGGCGGCGGAAATCCGCGACTCTCCATGGAAACGGGACCAATCGCCAATCCACGCCCCCTTGATCCATGTTTGCGATCGCCTGATTGACCTTCCTTCCGGATACTGTTAGGTGGGGCATGTCCTCCTGCAGGCGGATTTTGTACGAAGAATGAGAAATAGTCAAAAGAGGCTCCAAGATAATCAAAGAATAGTGGGCAAATCGTCCCCAGACTATTTTTCTAGTATTTTTGAATTTCCCTCCTGTTGAGGGACAGGCCCGACTTACGAATACTGCCAAAAACTCCTGCCCCTGGCGCGGAGCGTCATGATTCCGATCGCCTGATTGACCTTCCTTCCCCAGACATGCGACGTCCTGATTCTTTCAGGACGGCGCCTCGAAGTCCAGACCCTTTCCCCGGGGCTGGCTTTTCATCCTGAGCCGTTTCTGTGGACGGTCCCGAGGCCCAGCGAGGGCCCCCCGAGGCCGAGAATGTCCAAAAACCTCCAGCCCTGAATTTAAATTACGCGATCATGTCTGGGCAGTTTTTCTGGCAGGGGGCGACCGCCCCAGCATTTCTATAGGCCTACCACGACATGTCCGTAGAACCCAACAAATGTTCTGAGAACCACCAAATGTTCTTAGAACATAAACCCGATGTGTCAAAACAGGACTGCCTCGGCCAGAAGTGTTCGAGGGACATGTCTGGGAACGCTGCCCAAAAGCTCCTGCCCCCCGGCACGGAGCGTCTCCGGCGGAGGGGGAGCGGCGGAGGCAGCCTAGCGGCATCGCCAGCGCGCCCCGACCCTGCAGCAGGCTCAGCGGGGCGCCGCCGGCCAGGGGGCACGAGACGAGGTGCTCCCCTGGCGGGGCGCGCGGGCGTGAGCAGGAGGAGAGGCCTCCAGAGATCCGACGCTCCACTCCAAAAGGTGAGCGTCTTTTTCTTCGGCGTCTCGACATTGGGCGGAAAGGGGGGGGAGGGAGGGGGGGTCTGGCTGCGGACCTCTGCTCAGTGCGACTGTTTGCAGCAATGGGTCCATCCGCTCGAGACAAGCGCCCAAAAAAAAACAAGATCTACTCCATGGGGGGGGAGTGGGGGGGGGGGCGTGCGAGGGTCCGCGCCGATCGGCAAGAACAGCGACTCAAAAAACGATCACAAGAATGGGAGCGGCGGGAGCTTGGCAGTTTTGAGCAAAGTTCCCCCAAGGATAGGAGGGCAGGGCCGCCGCGCGCGGCGGCGGATGGGGGCGCTCGGGAAGCGTGGCGGCGCGCGCGGCGGCCTTTGCAGATCCCGAGCTGTGATCTCTGCCACAGGGCTGAACCTAAACGGTGTTGCTCGTCTTCGTTTTGTTTTCGTTTTCCCTCGCTTTTGTGTCCAATCCGCCTTTGCTGCAAAACAAAGTCGAAACGAAAACGGCCCACGAAATCTCCAAAAACACCGTTTAAATCCAGCCCTGCTCTGCCATGCCGGAGAGGGGAAGAGGCCGCCGCGCGCGCGCGCGACCGGGGGCCTCTGTTTGGGACCACGCGACTCGACCTTGTCGAAGGGGCCCTGGGACAAACAAATAAATACACACAGATCCCAGGATTGCTCTATTTTCCCATATTTTCTGG